CAGTTAGGATTGTCCGTTGTTGCAGGAGTTCCTCTTATCCAGTTTTCAGTTCTGTCTCAGGGGTAATTTTTCCACGAGTAGTTGTAAATTGGCTGTGTCCGCGGGAGGAGGTGAGTTCCGAGTCTGCTTACGCCGCCATCTTGACTTGAGATCCAAAAATTATATTTTTAATATACAATCACCCATGTTTATTAAAAAATATTTGGAAAACATAGAAAACTTGAAAGAAGAGAAAAATCACCCGTACCTAGTTCCACCATGCAAAGAAAACTGCATCATTATTTTGATATATTTTCTTCCAGTCTTTTCTACCTAAACATGAGTGGATGTTTGCTTTTTAAATAATGAGCCCACTATTCTCTCTTTGACATGATCTCCTACTACTTTTCCTATCACTCATTGAGCTTCTGTCACACTGTCTGCTTTTCTGTTCCTTAATATGCCAGACACCCTCTAGACTTTGGATCCTTGCTTTATCTTCCTTCTGCCCGGAAGTTGTTAGAATAGAGCCTGGTATACAGAAAGAACTCGGTAAAAGTTGTTGAATTAATGAATAAGTCCTTAAGATGATACTCAAAGTCTCTTGTGAAAAATTCATTTAATATCCATATGTTGGTTTTTTCCCTATTGGAACCTATTTCCTGTTTTTGAATTGTAGGATTTATCTAGATCTTATGGTTTGTCAGATATACAGTATAGGCATTTCTTCAAGACTCATGCTCTGTCCCCTTAGGGTTTGTTCAAATATCTTTTATTATCTACATCTGGATAGTCAATTGGTAGCTGTTGCTTCTAGCCCGATTCTCAGTGTCCTGCAGATTTCCTTTAATATAGTTTTGCTGAATTGGGAGTGATTGTCTTCTATTTCCACCTCTGGGCTCCCTGAGTTGTTGATGATACAGATGTCATTAATCACTGCAATGTCCTGATTGCATTGCTTTCAAGCTTATTACTGTTTTAGCAACTCTATAATTATGGAGTCTACTTCTAAGGATGACATTTGCCTCCATGACTCCCTCACACCCCATCCTACCCTGTTGTTTTCTGACAGTTGCAACCTCGAACTGAGCGTACGGAGGGGTCTTGAAGATGTAACAGGGAAGGGCATTTTGGCTTCTCCAGAAAAGGGGTGGTTGTCCAATTTTATAGTTGGTATAGGCTTTCCCTCCCTCCTTCTTTCCTACACTTCTTTGTTATTTATTGGCCCTATAGGAAGAGGAAATTCCTCCATGATTCTAAAATCTATCAGCCTAAAGATTGTAAAGCCTATCTTTTGATGACATTGGGAAGTTTTTGGTCATTTTTGGAGACCACATGGAGACCAATTTAAAAATTGAGAGAGTTAGTGACAGGGAGGGCTGCACACCTGGGCTTAGTTCTGGGGATGGAAGTGGCCAGTTTAGGGCCTCAGGTGACAGATGGGGGAGATGACAGAGTTAGATGAGACTGAGGGGGGGAGGGTACAAGAAGAAGGAAGGTTAAAGAGGAGGCTAGATCTTGGGGAAACTGTGCTGGGAGAGCTGCGTTGAAAGTGCCTGCAGTAGCCCTGGGGGAGGACAACAGTGGAGGCCAGGCTGTCTCTGCTGCCCGCTGGAGAAGGAGAACTTGGCATCTGGGAGCGTGCAGCTCCTGCGTGGGCTGAGCGATCCCCCAGGGCTCTGGTTTGTGTGGAAGGAGGAAGGCAGTTAGAGACACGAGGAGGTGGAAGAGACTGAGGGTCTCACCACCCCTGTTGGAGAGGGCAGATTTGGGCCATTGATCTCCTGAAAATGAACAGGAAGGAAGGCAGTGGGGTGCAGGGCCGCAGGTGGGCTGGGAGGGCAGATCCTGAACTTGTCAATACCAGCAGCCTCTTTTTTTCCAGACAAAGGGTTGTGAACCGGCCTGAGAATGAGGCCTGGTCTTATGGAAACTGAGCTTAGCTTCGCCGGGTTGACAGCTTTGGCCCAGGGTGGTATGTAATTTTGGCTTCACCTAGTGGAACAAGGTCTGGGTGTGAGGCCAGACACCTGGTTGGAGGTGAGGGTAGTCTAAGGAGTGATTCCGGAGGCAAGGTGCCATCGTAAGCAGTTAATGGTATGGCATGTAATGTGTCTGATGTGGGGGGTACTGCTGAGGCGGGATGTTTGTGTGTCTGCAGACGAAATTGACCCTCACTTTATTTTCCAGGTGGCAGTGCTCCCCTCTAGGTTCGGTGCTAACCTCTTCTGTGAGCTCACTCTGCCCCTCCTTCTCCCTTTAACTCTCTCAAGTTTATCTATTCACTTAAAACCTTGCTTCTGGTAATCTGGTAAGCCTGGGGACGTTGCTCAAGTCCCTGTTGGAGTCATATTGTTCGTATTCATGAAGGGGGAAAGGCACACCCCACTGAGATTCTGGGTGGGGCTGGTTGGTGTTGTTTGCTGTTGGAGAGGATGGGAATTGAGTGCACCCTTGGGGGGGCCCGCAGCTGTGGTACCAGCTGACAGTTACAAACACGCCTCGTGGACCGTGTTTTGTTACTATAGTGTTCACCATGGTGATCAGAGGGCACCAGGAGAAATGGAGCCCTTGGCCAGCGTGAGTCATCACAGTGTAGGAGGGGAGACCCTGAAGGAGAGAGCCCACCTAAATGGATGCCTGCAGATTGAATTTCCAGAGGCTTAGGAGGAGGGAGTTCTCCAATGTCGTGTTTCCAGGCCTCGCTCCGGAAGCCCTGTGTTCAGGAGGCCATCATTGAAGGTTTTCACATGAGTTTATGGGGGGCAATCTTAAAAAAGCCAAAGCAGATGCATCAGGGGCCATCAGCAGTTGTGTTTATTTGACTGTTTGATCCGGGAGCACCAACCTCTGGGCACGTGAATGCCAGCAGGCACACCTTCTTCTCTAGAGTAGAGGTTTTCAGATGCTGCATCTTCTAAATTGAGCCTCCTGTCATACTAGTGCTGTGCTACAAATCTTGCTTCGAGAAAATTCTTAAGTTGTAGAACATTTTAACATTGATGCCACAACACAGAGTGATGCCTTGTAGATGGAGCTTGCAGATGGAGCCCATTGACCCTCTCACCTACCCACCTACCTGCCTGGCTGTGCATTGGTCGGAGGAATTCTTAGTGTGATGATATAACCTGTGTGGGAAAGTGTTCACGTTTGAAATGCCTTAGCAAATACTTAGATGAAGAGACCGGCAAACTGAGAGGGAGGTCATTGTGTTGTGCTACAGTCTGGGAGGGTACAAGTTGGTCATGTCTAAATTCTGCATTAGAAATGGCAGGTCTAGGGCCGGCCCCATGGCTTAGCGGTTAAGTGCGTGCGCTCCGCTGCCGGCGGCCCGGGTTCGGATCCCGGGTGCGCACCGAGGCACCACTCCTCCAGTCATGCTGAGGCCGCGTCCCACATACAGCAGCTAGAAGGATGTGCAGCTATGACAGACAACTATGTACTGGGGCTTTGGGGGAAAAATAAATAAATAAAATCTTTAAAAAAAAAAAAAAGAAATGGCAGGTCTAGTTTGGGTATTCCAATCGCATTGCAGATCACTAAGAGAAAAGAAAGGTTGGGGTACTAATAGTGATCTTTGATTCATCTTGCTCTATATATTTTTCAATTTGAATTTCACTTGATTAGATTTCTGAGTAATCTTGGTGTTCAAATGGGAAGACCCTGAGGTGACGGTTATAGGAGGGGGAGGTCACAGCTTGGCACTGGTACTGGGAGGGGTGGGGGTGGAGAAAGGGAGGGAGCTGGTTAGGTATATGTTGCAGAGGGTGGGGGTGGTAGGGAATGTGGGTCGAAGGGAATTTTCCAGAGAAAAGATCAGTAGGCAGAGATCTGGGGAATTTAATAGAGCTCATGGGCAAAGAAAATGCTAGTTAATGCTAGTAAATTATTAATCCTAACTAAATTGTTGCTTGGGAACTTTCTAGAGTGCTTAGAACTCTAAGTGCAAGGAAAAAAGTAAAATTGTTTTGCTTTGCTGCAAGGTGGGAAAGACTGAAAAGGTGTAACTGAAAACCTGAATATCAGTCTCTTGAAAGATGGGTGTGCAAAACTTGCATCAGCAGGAGATTAACATCCTTCACTGCTTTGCAAGCTTCCTAAGTGGTTTATCTGAAGCTGCGAAGGTGTGCGATATTCAGGAGCAGTAAGTCTTAGAAAAAGACTTTAAGTGTTCAAATTGTGGGCTTTTAAAGCATTTAAGTTTGAGATTTTGATGTACACTGAAGATAAGATTAGATGTACTCTTCTGGGTTTGTAACTCATATTTTTGTTCACTAAGATATTTTGTGATTGAAAATTCTGAGCAAAGTGAAAATGCAATGATTTCTGAAGGAATTGTGTATGTTACGTCGTGCCTTATAAACACGTCTTATCTTTGTGGTCAGTATTAATAACAGCAAAAGTTTTTGCTTACTCTCATCTCTTCATAGTCATTGTAGCAAGGAGAACCGAATAACCTTTTGTGGTTGCTGTAAACTTACTGTAATACTTCGTGGCAAACAATCCATGTATCCTTGCTGAGGTTAGAGTTGAACCATTATATCTTTAGTTTGAATGTTTGTGCTTTTTAAATGATCCAGTACTAGAGGGGAAACTATCCGCCAAAATCAGTTGCAGAAATAAAAGCAAAACTGGAGTGGAGGGGCCTTTACTAGATGTGGTCTGTGTGTAAAAATTCAGAGAAAGATCTGAAAACCTTTTATGATAATACTTTGTTTCTGAGATGAATCTATTAAATTGGTAAAGTAATACCAGTGGCTTTTTATCGTGGCCCTCTTCACCTTATATTTCACTTTAAAAATTTTAAATCCCTAATTCTTTTTGCCCTTGGGATATTTCTGCCTTTTTTTTTTTTTTTTTAAATGTTTAGGAATATGTTGGCGTGATAGTTCCGTTCTTAACCAGTGACTTGCACGTGATGCAATTACTGTCATTGGAATTTAAAGAGTGTAAGTCATGCGTGTGTGGGGAAATATGTTCTGGTATTTGTGAAATTGAAATCGTAAAAGTAGTTGAATTACTTATGGTGTTGTGTATAGTAAGAACTAGTCCTGTTGCATCATGTATGTGACACATTAGTAATCATTTTTCTTCCCCTTTACACCACAAATAAAGGTTTGAGTTCTAAACTCATTAGAAAAAAATAAAAGTAAATAAATAAAAATTGAGAAATAACTGAGTGGCTAGATAGTTGCCATTTTCATTGGAAACCAAACAATATTTCTATTCTGTTGATTGTAATCTGCCACGTTCCATTATTTTTGATGGAATATCTCAAGATTCAGAACAACAAAATTACATGACTTGCTTTTAGAATGGCCTAAGAGAGCTAAACTTACAGATTGGATTGGCTTTCATACTTTATTTTTTCGTCACTTTTGGTCACCACTGTTCCAGAGAATTACCAGTTTGTTTGCCAATCTGTGTTATTTTTAGCAATTCTGCTTTATGTGACCTATTTTATTCGAGGAAATATGTGTCATGTAAAAACACAGTCAAAGATATAATATGAAACCAAATGAAATTTACTTTTGCATAAGATATATCCTGGGAACATTATGTATTATCTATATTGTATGTATGTGTAATATTTATCACATATCATTATTCACAAATACTGGGTAAATTAAAGCACTCTTCTTTGTAGGTGCTGTCAGTGCTAACGCATTCATTGCTGTCCTTTAAGCAACCCAGAGCCATGGAGATATTGAAACTTTACTTCTTGTTTTCTTTGCAGTTCCTGGTCAAAGAGGTATGATACGCTGTGGCTTTTTGTCCTGTGATTAATATTATGTAGATTTTTTACCATGCCAAACCAACTGAAGTCTTCACAAGTTGCACCCAATGATTAATGTTACTTATCATTAATGTAATTGTCAAACGAGGTCAGGTAATGCCTATCACTCACTCATACTGGCATTAAGTGGTATTTAAGTACATAGTAAATTGAATCAAACTATATATTTTTTTCATTTTTTAGGGCTATTTAGATCAAGAAGGTAATCCGATGAGATTTGCAGGACTTCTATCACATTTGCATGGTCATGAACCTTCAAATTTTGTTTTTGTCCATTTTCTTATGAAAGGTCTTTTCCATAAGCTCTGTCAGCCAATCAAGAAAGGTAAGATTGAAGTTTTATATATGTAGTCCAAAAATTCATGAAATAGCCAAAACCTCAGAAATACTTTCTTTCTTTTACTTCTTCTTCCTCCTCCTCTTTTTTCTCTTCCTCCTCCTCGCTCTCCTTCTCCTTTCCTTCCACAAAGAAATGCTAAGTAAACGTTCAGATTTACAGATGCTGAAAAATTAGATACTGAAAGTCAACTTATTTTCATTCCATCTAACTAATAAAGAACATTTGGGGAATATTTATTTATCATCTAACTAATTAAGAATATTCGCAGAAGAGGAAACTGAGGCACATAGAAGTTGAATAACTTTCCCATGGTCACATGGTTTTAGTAAGTATCAAAGTCCAGTTAATTAAACCTAGCCATTTCTTAACGACTATGGCATACAGGTTATGTGTTATGGGGAATGGAGAGTAAGAAAAGATGACCTTAGAGCCAGTGTTGGGAAGTATGGGTAGGTAAGAGTGGGAGCTTAGTTTGGGGCTGGATTTTGAAACATCCTAAGTAGCAGCCCAAGGAATCTGGATTGTTTTTTTCAGGCATTGAAACTCCGTCAGAGATTTTTGAGTAAGGGAGAGACATGATCATAGTAATGCTTTGGGGAGACTGATCATTATCAAGGATGGCCTGAAGTGAGGAGCGTCCAAATCAGGAAACCAGTTCATAGGGATTCTGGGGGATGGGAACAAGGTGAGAGCGGCAAGGATGAAAAAGAAGGCACAGGCTATAAAACTGCTGCCTTTACCAAGAATAAATGTACACATAGCATAGCAGATATGCTCAGTTTCTGAGGTGTATATTTACTAAAAATAAGTTTGCCTTCCATGAAAGGAAATATAATATAAAAACAAATTTAAGCACAAAATACATGGAATCAACATTTTTTTCTTATTCACAATAATACTCTTTATTTGAATAGGCTCACAACAATTTTCTCAGGATGTGATGGAAAAGCTCGTGTTAGTGTTGGCAAATCTGTTTGGAAGAAAATATATTCCAGCAAAATTCCAAGAGGCTAATTTAAGTTTTCCTCCACCAGAGGTGAGGTTTATGATACTTGTAATGAGATAATAATGCTAGTTACTAAATGTCTGCCACTGGAAAGGATTTAGTACCTATAGGGTTTAATTAATATAAGCTATTCCATTTGTTTTCATAATGTTAATTGGTCTTTCTATAAGCAGAATTCTTTTTAATTTTGTTTTACCTTTGGAAAAATTCTGAAACTTGACTATTGAAAATTTTGCTATGTTGATTCACAGCTAAAAATGAAAAATGATCCTTCTTAAGCTACTTACTTGAACACCTTTGCGCCTGTGGCCCAGTTAGTGATGTATGCCGTGCTTGAGAGTGGCTGAAAAGAGAGGCATGGAGTTTTTGAAATGCTTCATGACTTCTGTGATTGCCAAGTATTTATTTAATTATAAGAACATCTCTGATTGCTGTTGCAAATGTTATTTACTCACTTTGCTGTTGATGTAGTCCTCTGTTTTTATTTGGATTCTACCAGTTATTGAATCAAACATCTTCTTCTAATATCTAACAAACGATATCTAAAGTTTTGCATTTTATTGGAGCAAATTACAGCATTCAGTGGCAACAGAGAAGATGTAGAAAAATAGTCATTTAAATAAAATGACAGCCTTATTGCTGAACCTAGATGTCCTTTGAGATTGTTCACACCTAGGAGTGTGAGCGTAGGGAGGGGACTTGGGCCATGGGGTCTGATGTCCTCTTGAGAAGATATTGAGGTGATCACCTGAAGAAGACTCCTCTAACTCCAGGGTTATTTGAAAAACCGAAAGCAGGAGAATAATTTAGAAAATTATTTATTTTCAATAATATATTTATTTGTAACATTTTCTTTGTTCCCAATTTCTTATTAAAAAACAAAGAAATAAGAAAAACAATAACAAACAAATCAAGAAAACCTCCATTAGAACCTGAGAACGTAGAAGAAGCCTGTTTTTATCAGATAACCCTGATGAATACATAATAAAAAGGAGACTAGCACTAATGTATGCTCTCCAAGCTCATAAAGGCACTGCATATACCTCCAGACCTGTGGACGCAAGTTTAGTTACTGACACATTTCTACAATACAGACCACTGAAACTGTGACTGTTTTTTCTTAAGTGCACCCACATTTTAAAGTATTTCAAAAGGAAACTTTGTATTTACTACACTGTAAATGGAAAGCCAGGATCTCTGGCCTAAAATAAGATAACCAAAAAAATAAATGCAATTAGTATGATTCTCAGCTGAGGCTGCTCTCCCTTTACCAAAAAGAGAGATGATGAAGTTTTAGAGAGATATTAGAGGCCTACTACCTCTGGACTTTCTGGGGTTAGCAGAAAGAGGTCAAGAAATTTGGAAAGGGGACAAATTTTTATTTTTTAAAACTGACTTAATATGATTTAATATTTCATCTGTGTGTCATGTTAAATCATCTTATGTACCTCTCTAATGTTAAATGGGCCAAATTTGGGAATAACTGCTCTATATCTGTCAATTAACAAAGACGTATTGAGCAATAACTATGTGACAACTGTGTAGAAGAATCAGAGTTGGAAGACGTGGTTGCTGCCTTCAAAGAGCTTCTTCTCTAGCTGGGAGTATATGGCATGCGCATGTGAGAAGACTCGCTAGCTCACAACACAGCATGAACATGATAGTAGTGCATGTGCTCCTAGCAGAGTGTCTGGCACCAGCACAAAAGCAGGCACATGGAAGGCATAGCAGTACATTTGTAGAAAACTGAATGAGAGCACATGACTTGGCCCTACTGCAGAACTGCATTTATCGATTAGTCCTTTGGTATTCATTCATCCCCAGATAGAGAGAATCGGATGAAAAATAGCCCTAGGACAATTATCATACTGTCCATTGTAAGGATTTGGCTAGGGGCATTATTCATCATATGCACACAGTGCTTTTTGTAAGAATCCACCAGACAAGTTCTTATCTGGTTTTAGTGCTGAGAATAACTGTGTATCTCATGGACATTCTGAAATGTGTAACTGATGAGGTTTTCTTTCTGCACTTGGCTGCTAGGAATCTTCGAGTATAATGTGCGGCCTGTTTTAGGCTGTCTTTCTGTTTCTCTTTACTTTTTACTACATTTTGATTTACATGATCTTATTGTGTTATCTTCACCCTTATATAATACCTTAATTCTTAGAAAAGTGCAGGGTATGAATAAATTAAATAAAAGAAAATACCAAGTGAATAATAAAAACAGTAATTGTAAGAGAAGAAAACTGAGAAATTTTTAAGGTAATAGTTTTCCATCCATGCTATTTAAACTGAATAAAGAAGCTTCTAGTCTTAATTCTGAAAGGATTTGTGTTTAGGTATGAAATTTGGAAGTTGATGTAACTTGCAATACCAGCTATTTCTCTACCTACTATCTGTGTGACTTAGAGCAAGTTTACTTCTGTGAGCTTTAATTCTCTCATCTATAAAATGTAGATGAAAATGCCAACTTCGTAGGTTGTTCTAAAGATTAACTGAGGAATATACAAGAGCTTGGCAAAGCACAGCACAGTGTTGGCACATAATCAGAACTCAGTAATGAATTGATGCTACTATGACTACGCTAACTTGTTACTTGCTCTCTTAATATGCCCCTCAAGTCTTTGAAATACACACAAATTTAAGATCAGCTTAGGGCATGCATCTAGTTAAATGGTGATTTAATTAGGTAGAGTCAAAGCAGATTTTTAAGAGGAAAGATACTTGTGTTTATAGATGTTGATTGAAACCCAAATGGGATGTTACCTTAATCTCACAAGTGAATAAAGTAAGTGCTGAGTTCAATGAATGAATACTAATCTACAAAACTATGCTGCAGTCTTTTCACCAGGCAGTTTAATTGTTTAAATAAAAGTAAAGAGATCTTTCTGAAAAATATTTTGCCTGTAGGTGATCCTTGATGAACTCCCAGAGGATTTTAAGGCTGCTTTACATGAGTATAACTTGAAAGTGATGGAGGACTTTGCCTCCTTCCTACTGATTGCTTCCAAGTTGGCGAACATGAGAAATGAATATCGACTTCCTTTGTCAAGAATCAGTAAGCAAAATTTAGTTCCATTTTGGAAGAATTTAAAAAATAAATAACCTTGCCTAAGAAAGTCTCTGGGTATTGGATGCTTCAAAGCTGGTAGAAGGAGCTCATTACAGAACAACTGTATTAACCTGGATAATTAACCCCAGAGAACAAATTAGCCCATTACAGAGTGTGGCAATACCTTCTATTTTCCAAAGAAAGAAACTTTATGATTACCAAACGTTAACTGGACAACGGAAGAGAAAAATGAAAGTCAGTCATGAACCATTTTGATTGAAGGTTGCTATATATTAAGGCGGAAAATCAGATCAGAAAATGGGGCAGATGAAGGAGAAAATAGACACTATTAAAATAGACACTATTTCTGCCACTTCTTTTTTTCCTGAGAAATAAGGTAGCTTAGTGGTTATAAACATAAGCTCTGGAAACAGAGTACAGGGTCCAAATCCTTGCTCTTCTAGTTATTAGTCAGTCATTTAACCTTTTATGTTTCAATTTTGTTATCTGTAAAATGAAAGGGAATAATATTACTTAACTTATAGGATCATTGGAGGATTAAGTAAATGTATTAATGTTTGCAAAGTTCTGAAAACAGTGCATGGCATATAGTAAACACTATATGAGTCTGTTCTATCCAATATAGTAGCCACCAGCGTCATGTCACTATTTAAATTTAAATTGATTAAAAGTAAAAAAAATTAAAAATTTAATTGTTCGGTCACACTGGCCACATTTTAAGTGCTCAAAAGCCACATGTGGCAAGTGGCTTCCACTTTGGACCTAGCAGAGATAGAACATTTTCATCATTGTAGAAAGTTCTGTTAGAGAGTGCAGATATCACTGTTTGCTTCTATTATTATTTTTCTTTTTTAGAAATTTTAGATCAGAAACCTTCTGGGGGAGAATAAATGGAGAGAAGATGATAGAGTAAGGGTAAAGACTTAATTTATGGAGGTAATAGCCTGATTCCCTTATAATTCTAATATATTCTTTTTTTTTTTTGTGAGGAGACTAGCCCTGAGCTAACATCTGATGCCAATCCTCCCCTTTTTTCTTGAGGAAGACTGGCCCTGAGCTAACATACGTGGCCATCTTCCTCTACTTTATATGGGACGCTGCCACAGCATGGCCTAACAAGCGATGCGTCGGTGCGCACTCGGGATCCGAACCTGCAAACCCCGGGCTGCCGCAGCGGAGCACGCTCACTCAACCGCTTGCGCCACCGGGCTGGCCCCCTAATATATTCTTAACTGGAGTAAAGTAAAAGGGTGAGCCTTGTAGCTCTCCAAGACTTACTGATGTAAGGCACAGGATGAATAGAATCAGAGAATAATGGTGGAGCAACAAAAGCATCACAGAGAAAACACCATGTGAGTGTGAATGTCTCACCTCCATCATAAAAAGGAGCCACACCTGCACGTGACCTGGTGCCTTACAAGTCCAATGAGACTGTACCTAGGATGTGGATGGAAAATATGTTTCATCTCATATGCCAGCTCCAAATCCACTGGCAGTCGCTGTCTGAACATTGTGTCTAGGAGGATTCTGAGGTTATGTCTGAATTGAGTAGGAAAAGGTAACAGGTAATAAAAAGAGTAATGACAATAAGTTAATAGCCAACACTGATTGAATGAATACTCTGTGCCAAGCTGAATTAATCACTTTATCACCATATCTCAGCCAGTCTTCACTATGATGTCTGCCATGGGCAGATGAAAGTCAACCACTGTGGCGTGACTTAGAGTAAGTTTAATAGGGTTAATATTTTGATTTTTAAGACCTAAAGTGACCCAATCCAATATGACCAGAATTCACAGGTAGAGAATCTGAAGACTCTCAACTTGTGTCTCATTTAATGAACTGCAAGGAAGGAAGAGGAGCCATTTCACCATTCGTTTGTCTCTCGGGAAACACAGATGGTGATTTGCTTTGACCAGAGACTCTCAACCGTGTAAGTGGAGAATGCATGTTAGGGACAAAACATATTTAAGAGAGAATGGAGTTACACTGTTGTGCAGCCTCGATAGGACCTCAAACCCCAAACATTGAACATGTCCAGTCATACCAACAGCAATGTCTGAGAGAATGATGCCCTGGAGGCCAGGATGATTAATTCTCTAAGGAGTTGGCCTGAGGGACCCTGCTGCTTTGTGGGAAATTTCTGGACACCCTCTATTCTCTCATTTTTGAAGACTCCAGGTTTGATGTGGGAAGAGCAAGAGGAATTAGCTCACATTTTCCCAAAATTGATTATAGACCTCATAGTGCTGTCACTACAACAGGCCTCATGGGTCCTCTGAAGACAAAGCACTAGAACCTCTGGGAGGTTCTGGACAAAGTGTTAGAGTGTTGGAAGAGTTTAGGGTGAATCTGAACTATGAGAAGTAAATTCAGCTTTGATAATATTTAATAATATAGATTGACATTTGTGCCTTAACTCCATTTGATCCCTAGGTCAAAATGTCCCATCTCATGTAAAGTAGTGGTTTTCAAGTATTTTTGCTTATGTAATATCTAATAGAATTTTTTAAAGTTATGAATCCTCTTGCACAGTTTGGGTTGATATCTAAAATTTTTTTTAACTGAAGTTTATAGTTGCCAATGTTCTCATTTCCGGTTCATTATAAGTATGGACATTTTTAAATAGAACTATTATATCACTTTGCAATTTATCCAATAGAATATGAATATCAAGGCTGACACCCATAGCAATAAATTACAAAAAAAAACCCCACATGATTAAATAACTTCTTTAAAGTTACAAATTATACATAATTTATTTTTCTCCTTGAACTTCTATTTTCATCCCCCTTTGCCCACAGTTTAAGTTTACACATCCACTAGCAGTGTTTGCAGATTACCCCTGATTCCCTTGTGCTTTAGTTGCATAATGTGCCCAGAGCCACGGGGCCTTAGTTTTCTGTTTGTTTTGCTATTCTTCCTCTTCTCCTCCTCCTCTCTCCAGTCTTTCTCTTTTTCCTTTTCTTTGGTAAATGGAGACCCAAAGAAGCTTTGTGCTGTTCAGTTGCATTCTGACCTGTGGGCACACAGAGACACTTTCCTTCCAAGGTCATTCCGTGCACCAGTTAAGATTATAATGAAAATTCTACCTTAAAATCAGCTTCAGTTTATTATTCCTTAGTGAATTTTGCTGATTCCTTAGTGAATTTTGCTAATGGTTGCACATTGAAATTGCCCTCAGTAAACTGTGAGGGTTCCTATTTCCCTCCATGGGGCTTTCCCATTCCCTAGGCATGCTTAATGTGACACCCCTTTCCCTCACCATAATGGACCCCTATTTCCATTGACCCTTAGAGGAGCTTAACCTCTCTGCACCTCCTTCCACTCCACTTTCGCAGAATATACTTTGAGAAACTAAGATTGATGAAAGAAATCACAAACTGCAAACAATTATCCTTTAGATATAAATAGTGAATTAATAGGAAATGTATTTCTTTAGGTCATTCTGCGGACAGTTGGTATCAATGGCACTCAGGCTCCTGTGCTGTGGTCACAGAAATTAGATAACCGAGGAAGAAGAATGCCACTTAATGCTTATGCGCTTGATTTCTATAAACATGGTTCCTTGACGAGATTAGGCCGAGAGAACGGGTAGGTTTATGTGTCTATAAAATACATACATACATATATAACTACATCTTATTATTATATATTTATATTATACATTTATTTAAGAATTTATATTCTAGTATATATTTTATATTCTATATATAAACATAAGTTTATATTATAGGTATTTTTAAAATAGCAATTTTAATACAAATTTTATTTAAGGGTTTAAAGTGCAAATTAATCTTTTGAAACATGCTAGATCTCTTTCTAGTAAACTAATCTCTAGTGATTAAAAACTTCAGTATTATTTTGGTTTTGGGTATACCACCAAAATCTTGGTTCTTGGGCTGACTCTGGTGAATATAACTCTGAAGTCAAAAAAATATGATAGAGCTCAAAAAGATATTTTAATTTATTATTATATTGTGTTATCATTAAATGAGATTATTTTAAACTTGAGTAAGAAATAATATTCAGTGATTTCCTGGAGTAAACAAAGATCATTTTTTGTAAAATAAATTAATTCATGTTTCCTTGTTTTCCACAAATGTAACTTGGAGGGAAAACATTCTGGAACTTACATGTGAGGAAGTTAACTTAGCAATTGTCTATTAGAATATGACACTTTTCTAGTTCTTGGGCAGGGAAATCATTTTATAAAGCAATAAATAAGAATGAATACTTTGGATTCACATGGGGAGCAGAAATAATTTAGTCCTGGAATCCGGCAGGTAGAAATGGGGAGAGTCATGCTGTTAAACAGTGACTCAAGAATTCAATATGTGTTTTATATACAATTTTAAATAATTCTGATTGAAATTAGTTTTTAATGTTCTGCTCTTCTTGAAAAACCTTGAGCTATGTCTCAGTTTTTCTTATATCTAGTTCTTAGTTGTGAATAAAGTAGAAATGAAATTAGTAAGTAATAAAACTGTTTTGTTTTTATCTTAATCTCTAGTCCCCACTGACCCTTCTAAGCTTGATTTTTATATTTTGCCCACCCTGCAAGATGGTCACTTTGTGTTTATAATTTTTTGTGATTTTGACACCTGTGCCTCTGAACTTCATTATGATTAATACAACAGAATGATTCATCAGCTAGGAGAGTATTGACAGATAAACTGTTATGGACAGAGCCACTATTAAAGTGTGAGTTCAATCTTTTGTGTTTTTATACTTTTTAATTTATGAATTTTATTCTCTTTAGGATGACTGTGGGACAGATTTTAAAGCTTTTAAAAGATTTTGCACTCAACATTGAGACTATCAGGTATGTTATATATCAGGTTTGATCTTCTCAATTATTTTATGATAATTAACAAGCGTTAATTAGCAAACGTTGAGCTCTTCCTTTATATTAAGTTCATAATACTAGTGAAGAGCACTCCAGAGGTACCATTGGGTCTCCTGGGTTCTAGGTAATCCAGCTGCCAAAAGACCCTGCAGGCCCTCTTCTCATGACCCTATTGCGCTGTTTTTTTGTATTAGGATTTGTCTTATATCCATTTGGAAGGAAGTTCCATCCAGACCAGAGCCTCAAAGGCACTATCCCAATAGCCCATAGATCCCCAGGCCTAATTACATTCAGTTTCTACAAAGGCTGAGCATTTCCTCTGAATCAGATAAACAGAACGTAAGAGGGTCACACCTTGAGGGCTCCATTAGGTCTCTAGTTTATATCCACTTCAAAACACTAGGTCTTTCTCATACTCAGTGCTTTTCCCAGACCCACTTGACTCTGGCATCTCCTACTGACTTCCCATGTCCACCTGTTCAGTTGCCCTATAGGTAACCAAGTAATGAACTGTATGTGGACACTCCCACCCCTGTGCTCCATTGGTCATCTAGTTTTTGTCGAGTTCTATCTTCCCTAAACCTCCAGTCCTTACACACTTTGTTCTTTATCAGGTGTATATGGTCTCTCACTTAAAGTAAATTCAACTTTTTGGGGGAACCTTTATTTTGGGGTCCTTGCTAGTGAGGATATGTTTGTGTTTTTCTTTGATCTGAGCTGAGTCAGGCCCTTTGGGAAACTCTCTCCAGAGAGTGGGAGTCTTAGGATGGCCCTGCTTTGCCCACCTAGGGTATTTCTACTTGGTAGATTCTTGAGTGGCTCATAGTTTACAAAGCTACAACCTCTTTGAGCAGCCTGCGAAGCTCCAGAGACTTTAAACATATCTCAAAAGTTGGAACAGGTAGAATAACTGATTCAGTCAGTCATCCATTTATCAACAAAGAAATTATTAAGGTATGACCACGTTAGACATATTCTTCCAGGCACTTTGGTGTCATGGGAGAAACTATCTTTTAGACAATCATATGTGGTAAGTGCTATGATTGAGTTACACATGAATTATTATGTTAACACAAATAACTTTATGACTAATACTACTAGAATCAGAGAAAGCATTATAGAAGAAGTAATTTTCCAATCAAGTCTTAAAGAATAGTGAGAATGCGTTAAACAAATTTAAAATGTGGTGGTAGGAGAGAATTTCAAGCAAAGGGAATAGTATGTCCAAAGGTACAGAGATGTTAAAAGATCCCGATGCATCAGGCACAGCCTGAAGCTTATGATGGTGGAGTGTGGAATATGGGGGTTGTGATAGGAATGGGGGAAGATGCTGAGTGGTGAGTGATGAGTCTTTAAAGGGAATTTGGCTTTACATGGTGAAGGGTCTTAACTGTCACATCGTGGAGTTTGGATTTAAACTTGTATGTAGTGGTGAGATAGGGGAAGTTTCTGAGTGAGTGTGACATAGATCCATGTTTTAGAGATGTTATTCTGGCAGAGGTATGTGGGTCGAATGAAGAGATGAAGAAACTGAAGGCAGAGAGCTAGGTAGGACGCTGTAGCCATACTCCAGGGGAGAGATAATGAAGGTTTGAATTAAGGCAGTAGCAGTAGGGATGGATGGCAGGGATTAGAAAAATAGTTGAGGGGTGAAATTCATGCAATGGGGCAAGAGATATCAATCATAACTGGGGTTTTTAATCTGGTTGACAATTTTTTTTTGTGTGTGTGAGGAGATCAGCTCTGTGCTAACGTCTGCCAATCCTCCTCTTTTTTTTTTTTTTTTTGCTGAGGAAGACTGGCCCTGGGTTAACATCCCTGCCCATCTTCCTCCACTTTATATGGGACGCCGCCACAGTATGACTTGCCAAGCAGTGCGTCGGTGCGTGCCCGGGATCTGAACCGGGGAACCCCGGGCCGCTGCAGCGGAGCGCGCACGCTTAACTGCTTGCACCACCGGGCTGGCCCCATGGTTGACAATATTAATGAAAGTAGGGAATATGGGATGGTTTGGCAACTGAAAATTACAAGTTGGAATTTAAAATTATTGCATGTGGTGTCTGTAAGACATTCAGGGGGAAATGACTAGCAGTCAGATAGCATTATAGATCTGTAACTCAGGAGGAATGTCAGACTCGGAGATAAAGGTATGGTCATTCCTAGTGTTCAGTTACTGAGAACTAGTAAAAAACTGAAACTCTCCTCTGGCGTAAATAAGGTGGTGTATGATAACGAAAAGGAGGACAAATGTCAAACCACAATGCTTTCAATGCTTGAATAACATCTCAGGTAGCTGAGAGAGCCATTTCTTTCTCTCTCCATTCTTGTTCACCCCAGGTTCCTAGTCCTAAGATATATGGGTAGGGACATAAATTTCTTTTATTTGATTTGTGACTGTAAGTTTAAAAAATAATGGTCATAGTACTCGGAAATGCAGATGATGGCTCCAAGGATATGTGTGTAGAGAAGAAAAGGAGTTAAATAACTGCTGCTAAGGTCTAGGGACATGGAATTCTGTGGTTTTTCCAACTCAGCAAGTTTAGAGGTAGATAGAGAGGAACTGCATGAAGGGGCATCTTTTAATATTTTCTCAAGATATATGATGTATTTTGTAAAGATTTTACAAGGTTAATGTAGCTCTCATTATTATTCCATAGATTTTCTCTGCATTTTTCCATTTGGTGGATTTTGGAGTAATTAATTCTGCCAGCCTTCTTACAATATTGAATGTTACCAAAATGTAGGCTTATTATTATTATTTTTTCTATTGTACAGTGATTCCTTGAGTGAACTATGTGAAGATTAGCATGACAATGTGGTCTTAGCATTTAAACAACTGAGTCAACTCTTCCACGAAAAACTTCGACAAGTCTAAACTGAAATGTGTCCAAATCATTTGGAATAATTACATGGAAATTTCAAGTCCAATTTTGTGATTTTCATCCCTTTCCTAGAAGGATATATTTGAGCCTATACAATGAAATGGAAAGAGGATTCATCATGGAGTCATACAGAATTGAATTCAAATATTAGCTCTGCTATTGTTTAGTTGGATGATGTTTGATAAGTCATTTAATATAACTAAGCCTTAGTTTCCTTTCTGGCAAAATGAGAAAAAAAAAAATGCATACCTCTAGTTGTTTTGAGGATTAAATGAGATAATGTATGAAAAGTGTTTGTGTTAGAATGGTAACAATAGTGGTAGTGTTATATTTTTTGTAGTTAAAGTTAATGCATAGCAGAATTTTAGTTCACAATGTCAAGTTTTGAGTATGTCCCTAACCTCTAGGAAATTTTTTCATTAATGATCCATAAATCACAAAAGACCCAAATCAATTCTGAACAACAATTTACTTATGTAAGAAGACTTTTGAGATTACAAGAAAGCCACTGCTATGGACTGAATATTTGTGACCCCCAAAATGTATAGGTTGAAATCCTAACCCCCACTATGATGGTATAAGGAAGTGAGGTCTTTGGTGGGTATTTAGGTCATTAGAGTGGAGCCCTCATGAATGGGATTAGTGTCCTTATAAGAAGAGACACAAGAGCTTGCTCTCCTCTCTCCACTCTCTGCCACGTGAGGCTACGACAAGAAGACAGCCATCTGTAAACCAGGAAGTGGGCCCTCACCAGAAACTAACCAGCCAGCACTTCTCACTGATCTCGGACTTCCTGGCCTTCAGAACTGTGAGAAATAAATATTTGGGGGCCGGCCCAGTGGCATAGTGGTTAAGTTCGTGGGTTCCGCTTTGGCGGCCTGGGGTTCACTGATTCAGATCCTGGGCACCAACCTACTTACCGCTCATCAAGCCATGCTGAGGTGGTGTCCCACATAGAAGAGCTACAACTCTACAACTGTGATACACAACTATGTACTGGGGCTTTGGGGAGAAAAAAGAAAAAGAGGAAGATTGGCAACAGATGTTAGCACAGGGCCAATCTTCCTCAAAAATAAAAAAAAAGAAAATAAATATTTGTTAAGTTACCCAGTCTATGGTATTCTCTTATAGCAACCTGAACTAAAACCACCACTTAGCATAGTTATAAACTACTTTCCTATTGAAAGCAGGACATGTCGATTCAACTGTTTTTCCAATAGTAATGATAGATTTTGTTTGAGTCCCTACACTTTCTTATTTCTTCTTCCCAAATGATCAGAAGTACACTTTTTTACTTCCTGGATTAAGGATTTTATATGTGACTGAGAAAAATTTTTACCCTGTGAAGCAAAACAAATGTAGAATTCAGAGTATTTCCCCCTCAGTGTCATAATTAAAAAACACCCCCCCATAACAACCACAATGAAAATAGATGAACATTTAAATACTATTAAGGCTGTGTAATAAATGACTACAGTACTCTAAAGGAGAAAATAGTATCTCCAATGAGCCTAATCAGCAGTTTGTTTATAAATTAGGAAATATGATTCTTAAAGCTGTTAAAACAGTTTTGAAACAGTTTCAACTAGCAAACTTGAATTTTTTATGTAAATGAGGTCTTGGGTATAAGTTCTGTGATGCTTTAAGAAAATAATTAGCTGATAAGTTGGTGTTATTGCACTTGTGTATAATAAGTGAGTGGACACCCATAAAGAAATAAAGAATGTTTAATTTATTTACTTTGAGCTTTTTCTGTTAAATTTGTATGCATGTACGCATTAGGTATTTGGCTTTCATTATTCTCTATGTCTACCTTAGCCTCAGGTCACAGACTACACAATCTGTTTTAGACCCAGACCTTGAACACAGAACATTTCTTTCTCAGAGTGAAAGACATAACCTCTGCTATCATCAAGAATGTCTTACCAAGACACCATCTATGGTGTGAGATTACTTACAAATATATTACATAGGCTTAAAAAAACACCAGTGTTTGACTTTGTCTAAAAATGGGAAAACCTCTATTCCTTAGAACTAAGCCAGAATTGTTTTATATTAGGCATGTGTCAAAATCAAGTATAACTATTTTCTTTGGGCCAATTCTGAATTTTTTCTTTTAAAATAAACACATAGTAACAAATGTGGTAGATATTAATCCAACTATATCAATAATCACTTTAAACATTAATGGTCTACATACAGCAATTAAAAGACAGAGATTGTCAGAGTGGATCAAAAAACAAGAACCAACTATGTGTTGTCTACAGTAGATCTATTTTAAATATAAAAACACATAGTGATTAAAAGTAAATGGCTAGTATATTTAGTTTCCTGTTCTACATGTAAGGAGCTTGGGGGTTGCCACTCCATCCTAACAAAAAGGAAACAGCTGAACAAACTGAAAGATTGACAGCTCTTCATGGGTCTCCAATAAAAGTGAGGTCACAGGGCAAACTGCTGCCCCGAAAATTGGACAGACAGACAAGCAGATACAAAGTATCACAACAAACCCAACTGGAGCAGAAGCCTCAGTGGGAAACAATGCTAGGGTAAGAAAATCTGCATTGAGACTGACAAATTGCTGGAGGCTAGGCATGGACAAGTTTGAGAGTTAAAAACTCCAGGGGGACCCAGTCACAGGGGAGGTCCCTCATTCTTTTGTAAGTTTTATGTCCAGGAGCTTGACCAGGGTCTCCCAGTAAATATTAGAGAAAAATATCCTTATGTTTCTGGCAGGAGGAGGGGAAAAGAATCGCTTGGAAATATGCCAGAACATTCTGTTTTTCTTAACAAGGTCTGCCCTCAGGAGACATTAGTTACCCGTAGCCTAACTTACTGGGATTTTATCAGAGCCTAACTGACCTGGGGGAAAGGAATACCCAACTCCAGCCCAGTCTAGCCATCCTGTCTCACCTAAGAGAGGAGGAAAAAAATAGAGAAAGGGGCTGGCCCCATGGCTTCGTGGTTAAGTGCTCGTGCTCCACTACTGGCGGCCCGGGTTCGGATCCTAGGCGCGCACCGACGCACTGCTTCTCCGGCCATGCTGAGGCCTCGTCCCACATACAGCAACTAGAAGGATGTGCAACTATGACGTATAACTATCTACTGGGGTTTTGGGGAGAAAAAGGAGGAGGATTAGCCATAGATGTTAGCTCAGAGCCGGTCTTCCTCAGCAAAAAGGGGAGCATTAGCATGGATGTTACCTCAGGGCTGATCTTCCTCACACACACACACAAAATAGAGAAAGACCTGTGAAGATCACAGTCCACTGGCATAGGCTTTCTGAGAGACTGAGACCTAATCATAGGACTATAGAATGCTTCTCCTCCCCCAACACCTTACTACTACGTTACTAAAGCCTCATTTATAGCAGTTCCTTTTACCTGATACATTGCATCCAGCTGCGAAGAAAAATTATATGGCATACTAAAAGGCAGAAAAAAAAAAAAGCAATTTGAAGAAACAGCAAGCAAAAGAACCAGAAATGATGGGGATGTTGGAATTATCAAACTGGAAATTTAAAACAAGTATGATTAATATGCTAAGGGCTCTAATGGATAAAGTAGACAGCATGCAAGAACAAATGGGCAATGTAAGCAGAGAGATGACAATCCTAAGAAGGAACCAATAAGAAATGTTAGAGATTGAAAACACTGTAACAGAAATAAAGAATGCCTTTGATAGGTTTATTAGTAGACTGGACACAGCTGAGGAAAAAATCTCTGAGTTTGAGGATATATAAATAGATGCCTCCAAAATGGAAAAGCAAAGAGAACAAAGACTGAAGAAAGCAGGACAGAGTATCAAAGAACTGTGGAACAACTACAAAAGGTGTAACATGCACATAATGAGAATACCAGAAGGAAAAGCAAGAGAAGAAAGAACAGAAGAAATATTTGAAAAAATAATGAATGAGAATTTCCCCACATTAATGTCAGACACCAAACCACAATCCAGGAAGCTCAGAGAACAAGAGCAAGCAGGATAAATGCCAAAAAAATTACACCTAAGCGTATTATTTTCAAACAACAGGAAATCAAAGATAAGGAGACAATCCTGAAAGAAGCCAGAGGAAAAAACACCTTGCCTGTAGAAGAACAAAGACAAGAATTATATCTGACTTCTCAGAAACTATGCAAGCAAGAAGAGAGTGGAGTGAAATATTTAAATTGTTGACAGTAAAAACCTACCTATGTAAAATTCTGTCCTCTGTAAAATAATCCTTCAAATGTGATGGAGAAATAAAGACTTCCTCAGACAAGCAAAAATTGAGGGAATTTGTTGCCAGTGACCTGCCTTGCAAGAAATATTAAAAAAAGTTCTTTAGAGAGAAGGAAAATGTAGATTAGAAACCCAGATCTACATGGGAAAGGAATAGCTTTGAAGAAGGAATAAGTGAAGGTAAAACAAAAACTTTAATTTTTCTTATTCTTCATTGATCTACAGGTAATAGTTTGTTCAAAATAATAATAGTAATAATGTATTTAATTATGTAGGCCTATATATGTAAGCACATATATAAGTGTATGCTTATATACTTATGTATGCTTATATATGAGTGAAATGAATGACAGCAGTGATACAAGGGACAGAAGGGACAAGTTAGGATTATTTTGTTATTGTAAAGTATTAAAACTACTTGTAAAGCAGCCAAGTGTTATTTGAAAGTGGGCTTGGAATAGTTGTAAATGTGTATTGCAAACTCTAGGGCAACCACTAGAAAAAGAAAAAAGAGAAGTATAACTGACATGCTAAAAAAAGAGAAAAAATAGAATTATATAAAATACTCGATTACAACCACAAAAGGCAGAAAAAGAGTGAAAGACAAAAATAGGAACAAAGAACAAGGCAACAAATAGAAAAGAGTAATAAATATGGTAGATATTAATCTAACTATATGAATAATCACTTTGAACATTAATGGTCTAAATATATCAATAAAAGACAGAGATTGTCAGAGTGGATCAAAATAATACCCACCTGTATGTTGTCTACAGGAAAATCACTTTAAATATAAAGACACATAGATATTAAAAGTAAAGAGATGGAGATAGATATACCATGCTAACACTAATCAAAACAAAGCAGAAGTAGCTATGTTAATTTCAGATAAAGAAAACTTCAAAGCAAGGAAAGTCATCAGGGATAGAGAAGGGCATTACATAATGGTAAA